ATACAGAATATTATTGAAATATAAGTTTAATAAATTAAACAGAATTAAATGAATAATAAATATGTGTTACCTTAATTAGTGAGACATATCTATCGCGGTCTTCTGTCCCGCGCGGGAATTCCCAACAGATGTCGAGTCCATCGAAACCTTTTTTACGCAAAAACTCGATGGTATTGAAGATGAAAAGAGTTTGTCGGTAAGTGTTTTCAGTGAGTTGTTTGAAGGGCGTGGGACCCATCATCCAACCGCCCACTGCTATCAATACTTTCAAATTGGGATTCTTTGATTTGATGGCCAGCACTCGATCATAGAGTCCCGGAGTGGAGCCATGGGTTTCATCGCTTTCCTCACTCGGACTGATCTTGAATTCACTGTTTAGGTTCGCGAACGCAAACACTATATGTGTGCAGAGCGTAGGGTCTAAATGTTCAGGCTCAAACTTGCCTATACCCGGCCGTTTGTTGGACCAGTTTGTATAGTAACACACGATTCGGGCGTTTGTCTCGCCGTCTAAATCGGTTGGCAATGCGTTTGATGTAATCGACGAACTTTTAGTGAGGTCTGGCTTTTCGTGCACAACATTGGTCTCTGGTTTGGGAACCGATGCTTTGATCAGTGGATTTGATGTCGCCTTTTGTACGATAGACTCTATGTTTGAGGAACCCTTTGGCCGTCCAATGAGTTCTTCGCCCATAATCTCAATGAGTGGGTACTTTCTTCCGGCACAGTTACCGCTAAAGTCATCCATGTCTACCGTCCAGACCATAGCGCCGGCGTAATCGTTATCTAAAAGCCATTTCACTTTGGCTTTGATAGACCTCTCGTCGTCGAAGCCGACCCATTGGTCGCCGTCAACAAGATATGGCACTTTCTGTTCGTCATCCCATATATATGTTGCGCCGTTTTTCATCATTTCGCAGATCTCGTAAAAGGCCAGGAATCCGGCCTCTCGGCTGAATTCACCCGCTTTCCCGCCGCCCGACGTCGCGGCGTTCATACCATTGTCTGATGGGTTCGTTAGCGTAAAACTACGGCCTGTTTTGTAGATAATTATGTTAACCTTTAAAGTATAAAGTAAACATTTTGTAAAGTATACCATAAGTGGCCAAACCGACCACTATCTTCTCTTTAGGCGCTCCCATTTTTTCCCATAATTTGACACCAAATTCCTACCAAACAAATCATAACTTTATAAAATGTTTGCATTTACTATTGTCTCAACTAAACTGACCACGCTCAATTGTTTCCTCCATTCTGTCTCTGATGAGAGTGAAAAGAGGGGTGCGTTGTGTCCAGTCTTTGGTTCCCATTTTCCGTGAAAATCATACGACATTACGTTCAGAAAGTCTACATAACTTTAGGAAAAATTTGTTTAAAGCAAACATAATGTAAATCAAACAAGTATTCATACGCTCCGACTGCGGGCACATCGTATCCGCCCTTAACAGTGTCCACACCGGCAGAGACGGCGGCCGTCAATAAAAGTCGAGGCATTTTTTTCTCTTTGGCCTCCGCTTCGAAAGCTTCTCTCAATTCCTTTAGTTTATAAATAAATGTTAATAAAGTTTTTCAAGTGTTAGAAATTATAACTAGTCATGCCTTTAACAGATCAACAAAATTCTTTTTATCTTCCGATCCCTTTGGAAATTCCCAGTCGAGATCCAGACCTGATGTGAGACACATGAAAAATATTGCACACAATTTGTCAAAACAATTGTCTTGAAAGAGAGGATACCATCAAAATTCCTTTGTCTTAAATAATCCATTGCACTGAAGATAAACACTTGTCTGTTATATCTATTAGAAGACATCACTTTGAATCGTTCGGTTCCGAAACTCCATCCCCCTTAGCATTGGGTGACAATCAGTTATTGCTTATATGTTATCATATGATGTATATTTGTAATCGTGATTATCGGTGTTATTGATAGACATACCGACGGCCAGTAATACTGATAGGTTTGGATTTTGTTTTTTGAGATCAACAACCCTTTCATAAGTGCCTTTTTTGCCGTTTTTGGTCTCATCTGTGGCGTCAAATGAGGTCAGTTTATTAGCTTTCATCCATCCGAAGCTTTAATCATTTAATCAAATCAATGATATCAACTTATTTTAGGTTATTATCGTTAAAATGTTGTTTTTTAATCAAATTAATTCATCGAGTTTTTTATATAATTTTTCAATTATATTAAGATTTTTTAATTTTTATGTAAAAAGTGGTGATATTTGTATTACTTATTGATTATAAAGAAATATAAAATTATATGTTTACCTAAATATAACATGTGTGCATATGTGAGGGTCAATATGTTCGGGTAGAAATTGACCTTGTTTTGGACGATATTGAGACCAATTGGTATAATAACAAACCAACTTCTTATTAGGTTTCACATGTGATGTAAGTTTTTGATTCAATAGATGAGTATCTGTTATATTGTGTCAAATTATATTCAATTATTATATTGTTTTCACAAAACAAAAGCTTTTTATTCTCAATCAACTGCTCCTAACTTTAAGTTGTATTTTAGATTCATTTGATTTTATGCTCAAATTAATGCTATAATAAAATATTTAATATAAATAACTTCAAAAACTTGTCGGTTGTTTAACACTTAAAAACTACATACATGTTTATAAACATGCGATATGTATAACAAGTTTTACATAAAAAACTAATTGCAATTTATTTAAACAAATAGAGATTATTCTTACTTAAGATTCTTTTTGGTTCTGCTATTTGTAATCCAATGTTTAAAAATAGATACAATTGTAGTAACGGACCTAAATGCTAATTATACAAGATTAATTATTAGATTATTAGTTTATAATTAGAAATAATTTATTCTTATATACATTATATATTAAAATTATCTTAATTAAAATTATAACTTATAATGTTAGAAAGCAACAATGTTGTTATAAATTAAATATGTAACTTATGAGTCATAAGTTAGGACTTTAACATAATGATTTTATTTTTTGGCAACATTTGGCAGTTTTTCAAAGTCAGCAAAAGTGTGTTTTTAATTTAATTCAGTGAATGCCGAAGAAGTGACCAATTGTTTGGCATTATTTGCTCGTAAAACTACTGTATATTAAACAATCAATCATTAAAAACTCTATATTTAATTTTGTTACGAAATATGTTTTAAAATTGAAATGTATCAAAATGTGCATAATGTATAATTTGTTCAAAGTTATTGCCATTAATAACAGTTATATATTTCAGGGTCACTTAATCTTATATGGTAAATCTTTAATATTTTAGTCTAGTTTAAAAGTTTTTCAATCTAATGAATTTATTCCTTTAGTCCTAACGTGTTGTCATTATATACAGGAATACAATACTAAATACAAAATTAATTGTTATAATTGTCAAAAGAATAATATGTAAAACAATGTATTGTGTGTTTTGTTAAACACATAATAGTTTTTACAGCAATTACTGTAAAAATACGTGAATAAAAGATTTTGTAGTGAAGTATAAAATAGTTTAGTATAGTTTATACACTAGATATGAGACGACGCCTAAGCCATTGAACAGTAATTAGTAGTAAAATAATATAACTGTAACCTCGATGTGGTATAGCAATGAAAATTAACTAAAAGACATTTTTATATACGAATACATAAGACATGATACAAGCTTTATATAAAATATTAGGTCATTTGACAATTGAATTGTTGTTTTAATAACAAACTAAACACGTTTCACTCAATGTCTCCTATAATACTCTAGTTTTCACTTTTAATTGCAGTTTTAAAATATTATTCAAAGGCTTAGGGTTTGGATTATAAGTTGCCTTAATTTTAACTCTATTTAGAAACTTAATTTTTCATTTATATAACACTACGAGTCCCTTAACCTAAGCATTACAAAAACGGTTTATCCGCATAAAAATGTTATCCAAAAAATATAAGCATAAGATTAAAAACTAAATAAATTATTTAAAGGCTCTTTAAGTTTAAATTAGTTTTATTTTGTTTGCAAATTAACCAATATTTTCAAAGTTATTTGCTTTTTGTATTCGATTGGGTTTTAAAAATTAAGCAAAAATGTAGACATAAATGATTTGCATTTGTTTAATAGTACAGTAAAAATGTTTTATAAATGCATTTAATCCATAAATTCTTAATTATAAAAAGTAAAGTAAAGTAATGACAGAAAACTTGCCTTCTTTTGGTTTCTTTTCGGCGAAACAGTTCCGGAAGAGTCCTTCATCTCTGTTGTAATACCGATAGTTTCGTATTCATTGATCAATGAATGGGAATCGATATATTGTTTGGTCTTATTCTTGTCGACTCGTTTGTTGAATTAAAAAACTTGTTTTGCAATACTGTTTGACTGACAAGGAGTGAGGGCTTACAGCACAGGTAATGTTGGAAATACAGGTTTTACGTAGTTTTTAAAGCAAAAACAGTTCAAAAATGTGTCTCTAATACGATTTGAAACGCAATCGCAAAAGACATCCACTAAAACAAGTTACCGAAACACTGACTGTATATATCTTATACTTCCAGTGCATACCTGTTGCCCCTCTAAACACATTTGTTTCAATTCTGTCTCGACTCTAAGTTTCAAAACTTATTAATTTCTTAATTATTTTTAAGTGTTAACATTGAAATAATATATTGAATAAATATTACAGAATTTTGCTATAAAACGAGGAATTGTTAAAAGTTTATTAAAGTGAAAAGTGATGGCCGGCTTTATTCAACATTACCTACTTATACGACCCGTTACTCTGTTTACCTTCAGTACAGATAACTGGTATGAAATACTAGTCGCAAGAATCAGACCAAATAATACATCGATTCCCCACTCATTAATCAACGAATATATGAATGAGAGATCGGTATTGCAGTACAAATGAAGGACTTTTCCGGAACTGTTTCACCAAAAACAAGCCAAACGAAGGTAAGTCTCGATGATTTAAATCAGTTTACTTTGTTATGCATTTATTAAAATATATTATAAAACATTTTCCTTTCAAAATAAGCTTTCAATATAACATTTGTTGGGTTTGATTCAAAAAGTGATAATTTTTTAAAATTAATTAATTTTTTATTAAAAATAATAGTTATTTTGTAAATTACAATTATTTTAAAGATTAGAATTTCTGAATAAATATTAATTTTATTTAAATGGGACTCAATTCTGACGTTTTCACTGTTTTAATATAACTTATAAACTAAAACAGTGTATAAACCAAATACGAGACCAGAATTGGAGCAAATGCTATAAATTAGGGAAACAATAACTATATTATTCTGTCTTTCTATACAAATCATTCAAAAATAAATTAGTTGTGTTTTTTGTTTTAAATTATTTTCATTATTATATTTGAGTTCAAATAAACAAATGCTTTTTGGCTATTGTTTTGATTGAATTAATTTCATTAAATGTCATTTGGATGTCAATGAATAAATAATAACTTATTATTTTTAATTGGCTTTTAATTTATGATTTTTATATAACGTCTATTCCTTTTGTATTCAAAATGAAAAAATAATTAATAACTGATTTAATTCCAGTGCAACACATCTGTTCCCAACTCAGACCGAGTCATATAATATGAAGAATATATAGTAAATGAAGTCTCGGATAAATTCTCTGAACAAAGATGGGAACGATTGCGTAAGTATTCACTCTTTTATCATAATATTAGTTAACAGTAGTTGTGATATAATGTATGATATAATATGGTTAATGAATTCAAAGCTGTAAATGAGTTCATTATATTCAACATTTAACAGTAAAGCCTCAACTGTTTTGCTTTTATTACAAACAATGAATTTTTTGCACATTAATTAAAAGTGACCAAAATATGTGTCAATTTTATAAATTTGTCTAAAAATTCTAATATTCAAACAAGATGATATATTATATTACATGAAAAAAGATATAATTTAAAAAATATATTTACCTGTTATGTTTCGATTCAAATATTTCAATAATGTATCAAAGTAAGAATTATCAATAATGAATTTTCATCAAAATAATGAAAAATTGTGATCTTGAAACATTCTTTGTTTAAACAAGTTAATAATCGACTATTGTTGAAGTTGAGGTTCCAATTGTAATAATCTTAAGTAACTAATAATTAATTTATATACCACTATTAAAATGTTGCTTCAAATTGATAACATTTAAATTTAGATAGACAAAAGGTTTTGAAATTAAATCTTTTTTATGTAATATATTAAATAGAATCGAAATGTTTTAGTCATAATGTGCCAGAATTTAAACAGGAACTCAATAATACAGGAACTCACAACTAATCTATAACTTTTATGAATATGAATATTTTTTAGTTATGAATACTTTTAATTAATAATAATATTATCATGCAATCGTTAGTCATGTTTTAAGTATTGAGATTTTAGTAAGATTATATTATTATGTAATTTATAAATATTAGAAACCATTTATTATTATTTACATGTTGATATTAATTATTAAATTAAATGTTAAAATTGAATATAATTTACCACTTTTTTATGTGATTGAAATGATATGATATGTCGGTCATTGACATACGATATCGTGTCTCATAAATAGACGCCTCAATAGATT